TCGATTAAAGGAATAATGGCGATAGCAGTTCTACATCCATTTGTTATTATTATGTCTACTAGGTAGAAAATAAAATTATAAACGGCGCAATATCTTTCATGTCATCGTTAGCGATAAATCCGTACGTGTGACCAGTCGGCGAGCACTTCATATTTATCGTTTTATCTCACAGGTTCAATCGTTATGTTACGTAAGGCGCGCTTCCCTCAAGAGTCTATAACAAATGTACATGTTTAATTCAGCAGCCTGCTGGTATGACATTATGATCAATAATAGATCAGGCGATTTGCTTCAACTTGATGTCATCATTCTTATTGAAGTTTTACACACATGTTTTTCACGTTATAGTCAGAATATTGATTATTGTTACTATTACTATTATTTATATGGAAACCTATATTGTTGATGTCGCCGCTCGAGTGGCGAAAGCGTACGGCACATGTGTGGCCTCCTTTGCCTTTGAACCCTCCACAACGATTCCCAATGTTATCTAAAACCGGTACAGATCTGCTCGGCCTTAATCCAAGCACTAAACTTGAACCCATTGCGATTGCTCACCACCCTGTTGCATGAATTCTGTCATCCCTTTGTACCTATCCTTGTAATTTGAATGCGGTTTTCTCGTCGTACCCCTCCGACCTATTCACCTCAGTAACCTCACTCGGGCAGTTCACTTGCCTGGATTCAGCTATGTATGCTATTTAGTCATTCTGCGATTCTATGAAAAATGTCCTACAAGCTCTTGCTGCTGCTAAGCTGCCGCTACGCTATCGTTATCCTGTGTTTGCCTATTACGGCTGATTCGTGAGCTCAAGATGAAAGTAAACCTATCCAAATGTCATTTAAACATTCGGCCATTCGAAAACTACGCTATACGCCGTGGTGGAAAACCAATTTTTTTTTCTGCAAATTCTATTTTATGTCTCCTGCGTTGCTCTCGAAAAACTAGGCAGCTTCCTTTACATTTAGACGTGCGCTGAGTTATTGTTTAGTTTTTCTATGAGGAAATTTTCGAAATTAATATTTCAACTAATATATATATATATATATATATATATTAATACATTTAGTACAACTAAATCATGTTTAACTTCCAGCATAAATTGAGCTTTTAAATTATCGCCATCCCCAACCTTAGCTATGATAATACCACCAATGTTGTTTCTAAGACCTCGAAGGGAAACGGGCTATGTTCCAGATTGATGTATAATGATGTGAGTAAACTTGAATATTGGCTGATTTAGGCCAAACGCAGAGGAATCGTTAGGACAAGCTACATTTCATACAGCATAATTGATTTTGCTGAGTTCCGCGGCTTCGCAACGTATGAAATGCATAAACGGACTGTGAGATTAGTTATCTGCTGAACGCTGTCAGCACGTGCTGCTTAAGGTTGGTAAGGTCACCTTGACCTACCCTATGTCGTTCTGCCAATTAAATAAATAGTACTTAATAACTGCTGTAATGCGAGGGTATACAGATTGTCTGGTATCTGTTTAACGTCCATCGATGGTTCGATTATTGTTGAAGAAAAAGACGACCTCCACCGAATAAATCCTGTCAGTCTCGGAAAGCCTGACAACGTTTGGCGGATGTCGCAACCGTGTCACTTCCTTTACCAACGAAAAGGTTTCCTATGTAACAATACCTAGCACTACCAGATCTACTGGACACTGAAAAAAAAAGGTAATACTTTCAGTTCACTGATCAACGGTGGTCACCTGCCATCACATACGATTTGCCAGCCGAAATAGAACAGATTATTCAAGAGTCAAAGCGACTGCGACTAAGATTCTATTTCACTGTCTATATTATTATTTATGCGGTATTGAACGACTGATTATATAGATACATTTCTGCATTAAGACGTACAGTGTAACTTTGATCAAATTTTCATCTATATCAGGCTCAAAAAGTCTACAAAATCCTATCTTAATATGCCTATCTTGAATGTCCCGGATATTGGCTTAAATCACGATATTTCACTGTATATTCTTCAGCACAGCCTCGATTGAATCTAAGTCGTATGGTTACGTACAGGCTGTCCTTTACTGTCATCCTCCCTACCCCATTATTGCTACACTTATTTTTACAGAGAACTGATATTTTGAAACACAGAAGTGATATACAAATTGCGCTTGTTCCGTGCAAATACAGGTTTTGGCCGTTGTTTTAAGATCGCTCCTAACGGCATGAGCCTTTATAGTCCTTCAATATATGCCTTGTGCGTATACGCTTTTGAACATGAAGCATATATCGTGGGATCTGTAAAACACAAATACCGTTTATGCTGCGATAAAATTATCCAGTTAATTCGAATCCTGAACGGTATCGCAGTACATGATCTGAAGGTCTAGCTTTTCAGAATAAAAAGTCTTACAGAAAAGCTTATTTAGCTTTTATGGCAGCGAGCTGGTTTCTGTGCACAAGGCGTGACGGCGTTTTGACCAATTCTGATTTATAACACAGTATGTTGTTACACATATACTGGACTTTAGAGAGCAGCGATTTTCTTTGTAGATTTCCAGCTGCTTATACCGGGGCATCTGCTGCTTGTCTTGTAAATCTACCCCAAAAATAGAATGTCGGCAGTGATGAGACAGTGAGATTCAGTTATGAAATATTTCGTGCCAGTATAATTTGGGTTAACGGCCCTTCTTTTTCTCAATAGCCTACATAAAGCATTCCTCAGAAAATAAGGATAAATCAATGCTCAATCAGCGAACCAATCTGTGTTATCTGTGGCTGATTTCACGTCTTGTTGTTGCCTGATTGTCTATTCCTGGACAAAAATGTCGCCTGTGTCTGTCTGTTAGCGGAACATTTTACACGGCGACCTTTGGACGATGACCGTCAGCGGACCGTCTAGCTGCACCTCACCGTGATAGAAAAACATCCATCAGATTGCCACGGAAAAAAGTAATGCAATTTCTTCTTCCTGATGAGACGACGGGACTGCGGGCCTAATACTTACTCCATTGTTACCTACGGCCTAAAACTTTACTAGTTATATAGAACTTCCTTAATCAGTCAGTCGGTCAGTCAATAGCTCGTATATTTTCTTAAGAAGAGGAAGAACTGTTAGCACCCCAAATACAGAGTGAACATGCCCGTCTGTGCTGCCATGGCCACCGTTTATCGTTGTTCTCTACCACGACAACAATGGCTACAAAAGCAGAGGTAAGCCACGAACCTCTATTGAGAGACTGTATTAGTGGGGTGTGAGTTTTTTCATGGATCTCCTTCACTCATCCCTTTATGCCTAGGTTCTTTTGTCTTTGTCTACAGCCTATCATAGAACTACTTGATACCTAATGTATTGTAGTACTTTCGTTTGTTAGTCTTTATATTACTTATGCACGTATTTTCTGTATCCAGTTTAAAAACATTTAGAGAAAATCACACATGAACGTATAATGCTTTCACAAGCAACGTGCAGCTCGTCCGGGCTGGCAACCCGTTCAATTTATTCCCATCTGTAACATTGGGTGCCACTTTCTGGGTAGACAAGCAGCCGCGGTGTCGACTCTACGACGGTTACAACCTGAAGGTTGAAACCATCGAACGACGGTGGTAATTTCACTTGATCTCTTTGCGTTGTTGCTGCTACAGTCCGAGATGTTTTTTCCCTCGCGCTGCTTTAAATATTCGTAGGCTATATGGTGTTGTCTGACAAACTCTTGCCCACGGCTGTAGCACTAGTCGTTATCGCAGCAGTTGATAGAACGTGACATATCATTCATTAGTTCGAAGCGTTAAAAACAGGAATCACAGATCTCATGAAGACAACGTTACGAAGAAAGCGGTTGAATTGGTCGGCATTCGCAAACAACACAAACTCCCATAGATGCGGATAGGTAGTGGAGGTATGAGAGTGAATAAAGTAAGGCAACAGACGAGGTCCAAATACAAGAATAGCGCGAATTTAACGCTAGGAACAGACAGGGATTAGATATGGAAAAACAAAGTTCGCAGAGCGATCGCAGCGAACGAGTGGAAGAACTTGCTCATCTTCTGCTGCCGTGGCGAGTTTTCAATCGGGCAATCGCGTTAGTACCTCTTGCAGCCGCTTCTACTGTGCGAAGCAAAGCGTTTTCCGTAACATAGAGACGAAAATGGACACGGTCGACGAAACTGCATCTGTCCATAACACGAATAGAGAACTGTTGATCTGAGAACTTGTCATTATCATTGAGGTCGGAGACCTCATCGGCATTCACAATGAGAACCACATTAATAACACCGATCATGAAAACATCAAAAGAAAACTTCACGCAGTGACAGAACGAACGGTACTAGCCAATTTATATTTTACTACTATAACACAGAAAAAACGGATTGTAATGTCGAGTTATTTATTACGATGTTCGGATGCTGGATGTGCCCTATTCTATTTAAGCTATTAATTGCCGTCTGTCGACCTATGCTAAGCAAAGATCGCTCCCAGCAGGGAAAACGGCTTTGAACATGTCTGGTTTCCATCTAAACTAAAAGACAGAAAAAAATCTTCCAAGGTATAACACGTAAAGTATTGCCATTTCTTTCAACTATTCTTTTCGACGATGTGCGTCAAATTAGAGCAAAAAATGCTATCTTTTGGATAAGTGAAACGATCTTGAAAGTTAATGACCCGAAATTGGGACCATGAAAACGTTTCGAGACTTTCTCTTAACGCTAATACACATAGTTCCCTAAATTTGTACTCTTTAACAATTTGGTAGTAAGCGGACTTCTGCTTCAGCTCGCGCAAAAGGTTCACTAATACCGTTTCAGAAAAAAAAAATTATTACAAGTTCGCACGTTTACATAGGTTCTTAAACACGGTCAATAAGGATTCCATATACCTCGAGCGCGGATGTGCAGTTATATAGTCAATGAAACTTTTTCCAAGTTTCGTCCACCCATAAGGAAACTGCAAACACACATATACTAGGTACCGGACAAATGCGCTCAAATACTGTATAGGATAAGTTTAATTGATCAATAAGCTACTTACTTACCGCGTGTTTTGCGCTAGTCCTGTTATTGTCGCATGGTTAGCTTTCATTGCAATCTGACGTTTTGTTTACTGTCTCTTGCGCGCGAAACGTTGCTGACTTTGCGATCGTTCTTGTTAGTTGTAATAAGGTTACGTTCGTCGTTGGCGTTTCTGTAATGACGTTAGCGACTTTTGTCTTTGTCGTTGCCACAAACGTTGTACGTTGCTGGGTGTCGTTTCTGTTTTTGTTCCCGTCGATGCCGCCGCCGCCGCCGCCGCCGCCGCCGCCGACGCTGTCACTATTTGTTCCAACTAGCGTTATTCCTGAATGATATCGCCACTCTTTTCGGCTTGTCCTTGTTTGGGGTAATCCTGAGGTCTGCTTGATCCTCATCTACATGAAATGGAAGAGAGTGGGCCTCGCTCGCTGTTTCTCTGTTTCCTTCTTTATGCTTCTATATGATAGTTTCTGTTTTTATTTTCTTTCTTGCCTCTAACTAGCTCGCAGGGTACGAACTTTATGAAATTTACTTTAATGTACTTTTTAGCTGGATAGAAGAAAATAGCACTAGTACATAGAATGCGAGCAAGTGTTGTAGTTACACTAGTGCTGTAGTTCTAGTATAAGTAACTTCTAACTTTCTCACTTACTTGAATGCCTTGGTGCCTTTTCGAACTATATTTCTGTGCAACTCCTTAGCTCACTCTCACGTACTTCCTGTTTGTTTCCGACGTCCCTGTTCTTGTTTGCTTTCTAACAAATACAAGTAACACTATGTACTTTTTAAGGTTCGTAGTCCCCTGGAGTCGGAGGCAGTTCGGGGTGCGACGTCTTACGGCAAAGTTATTTCACCTTGGCGCCATTGTAACAATAGCTGCAGTAGAAGTAGTAATAAGCAAGCATTGACGGCAGTGAATTTAAATAACAAATGAACTGATTATTCTATTTAAACTATTTTTTGTCGTCGAGTTTCTCGTCTGTTTTCTGTGGCTCCGCGAAAAGTTCTTGTAAATCTTTTAGCCGCGACTTGATATCATCGCTGGGCTTGTTCGTTCGTCTCTCACATTGTATTCCTTTGATGGCACTGGCCAACTATAACGAATAAGTAAGGTAACCGTATCACCGCGCAGTTATTGTCATTGAAGTCGTTATTATTTATGGATAATTTGTTGTTTCCTGTTTCTTCTGCGTTTCTTTGTTCTTAAGCTCGTCGTTGCTGAAGAAAAATTACAGAAGTGGTTGTAGCACTACGAAGAACTACCTCAACACTGAAAATTTTATATATCTGGCGAAATCACGAGCTGCGAATAAATATATGCGGTCATATGGAGTTTGTCGTTGTTCGCACTTTAGTCCCGAGAGGCGCGCTTAGGCCCCTACGTGTTGTAGGACAGCCTAAGCCCTCGACAGCAAGGTGAGCTCACTCAAGCCCGATAGGCCAAGCTCGACTGATGGCCCGGCCCGCGCCTCGAATCTCACGGGGAGAAACAGGGAGAAACGAAACACCGGACTAGAGCAGAGGCACTACGGAACGGCGCTCTGTCTGCTCCGGAGGCTGCTCGCCGGCCGGCCGGACGGACGTGCGCATGCGCAAAGGATGTATTCCGACAGTAGTTGGCAACCAGCCGACAGTCAACGGGCAGCGACAAGCAAAGCTTCCCTCCCTCCCTCCCGACCTGCTAGCTTGCCTGCAGGCCGACGTTTCAAGCAGTGCTTCAACCTATTCCCGTTGTGCGCACAATGGCGCACACCGCCGGTATTGATGAACAGAGTACAAGACAGATCAGAACAGATCTCATCTTGGCTTTATGCAGTGGCAAACGAACAAAACTGGAATAAAAGTTAGCAACTTCCTGCATTGCACGGGTTCATGATATCGCAGAAGCAAAAGGCCGTGGAACAAGCGCTACATCAATTCCGCGCCGGCACAAACCAACAACAGCGGCAGCAGCAGCACCCTTACTACCAACTCAAAGTGCTGATACTACCGTGGCTGCTACGACGATGCCAACAACGCGTCCGTGCATTACAACAAAAAATAGGGGGTGAAGGGTGGAACGTGATGACGTCAGAGGGAGGAGAAAGAAAAGATCTTGGCAGACACTTTCTCCTTCTCTTCCCTTCTGACAAGAAGTTTTCCAGCATGCGCACAACGGTTCACTTGCGATCGACTACCGACTACATCTTTCCCTATAACATGACAACTGGAAATATGTTCCGATTAATGGAAACGCGAAGCGGTAGCAGGGAACGCATGTTGGACCATCATTGTCCCTGCTGTCATCATCGTCGCCATGGTCGTCGCCACTGAACGAACATTAGTTCAATCAGAAGAATCACAGCGTGGCGGTTGCAGCAGTCCTTTTCTGCAGCGACATCTTTTGCTTATGTCGCATCGTTGCCAGGTCCTCTGTGTGCGTGCCCGTTACCTCGGTCGTTTCATCGTAGAAAACGAGCATACTCAGGCATAGTTACATGGCGAATAATAATATATGCATGAAAACGAGGACGTGAAGTACGCTTCCCGCTTACCCAACCAGATAGCTAAAGTAGATGAGTACGACGATGCTTACACAGACACACGACTACATAGGCCGATGAACCAAAACAGGTAGGCGGGAGCGCAGATGAGTCGCGCGTGGGTGGAGATTTCGAGAGAAAGAAGGTGGAAACAATCTACATTTCTACCTCCTGCAGCTGCACTCTGCAGTGCAACCCACGGGTCTACCCCCTGTCCGGCCCGTATCGGGGTACCCGTACAACTGGCACGACCACTGGGAACAAAGCAAACGAAAATTGTATATATATATATATATATATATATATATATATATAGAGGCTGCCATAAAAAAAAAAGTGAAGCTGAGCATAGTTTGTTTGTAAACATTTAGCCATCGCCGAAAAATCAACGAGCCAGGAAAGAGGACGACTGTTACGGTTGTCTCTGTCGCGAAGCCTCCGGCTACTGTTGTCACTGTCCACATTATTTAGTTACTGACTTGAACTCGAAGATGCGAACTTAAACGACATTATTTTCTTAGAAGTCTCACGTCTTATTTTTCATCAGATCCTCTATGTTTTACTTCGTTCTTTACGTTCGGTATCGCCGTTAGGCATGCGAGGAGGCGGTTGGCTCCCAGCGCGAAACGAAGTCCGGCCCTGCCCCAGTTCGAACCTACACCACAGTGTGTCCCTCAGGTTAGCAAGCAAATGCTTTGCCCATTAAGCTATGACGGGAGCCTCTCATTGGACCCTAAAAGCAGCTTGCTTTTCTATTTGCCGCCCCGCTTTATTGGTTAGCGTTTGAAAGGACTTCAACGCAACTGCTATATCAGCTTTCATAGGCTGGTTTGGCACCAGTCGGTAGCTTGAATCCGGGCATCCACGCGAATGTCTTTTCAGAAGAGAGCGTTGCTGGATGGGTCGAGAAAACTGCTAGCAACAATGCCGGAGGCGCCTATAGAGACTGTTCGGCTAGTAAGCCGAGCACGCGCGTATCTCATGACTTCCTAAAGTAGCGCCCAAAAGATCCTCGACATGGAAAATTTTGAAGCACCCTGAGCCGGGTGGGGTTCAGCTAGGGAAAAATGATACTCACATAGAGGAAACGTAATAACGTTTCCAAAATTTCAAACGAAATATTTGCCATACTTTTTGTGCCCTCGCTTACCTTACATTGTTTAGGATTGCTGGGGTCACCGTAATCAAGTGTTTTCACTGAGCTCCGTTTATCTGAACAACATTTACCTCGTCTGGGCAACGTGTGCGGTTTCTTTGCCATACTTCTCTTTCGTGACAGCCCCTAATTCTTGATTCTTTCGAAAGAACACCTTGATGTTCATTATCGCGTGTTACAATCATCCGCTTCCACACTTGTCTTACAAATACGTCTGTTTCTAAAAGAGTAACTGAAAACACCATCACGTGTTTTTATATAGATTTTATGCGTTTAATAATCTAGTCACTTGCTATTCGTTCTAGCTTCAGGTAAGGTATACGCCGTGGAGCTAAGCCTGTTATTTCTGCATTGGCTGATTCTGCTCTGGCTCAATAAAGCTAGTCGTGTACTATATTGTATATTATATAGGCTTGTGCCAGCGACTTTTGACCCTTTCAATCAGAGACTGATTTTCCCAAACTGTCGCAGCACTAGTAAAATATAGGTATCTATTTGGATAAATCTTATAGGAGATTGGGCTAGAAACAACCGGTACTTTTAGTAGATGCAATCAGCATGGTCAGAGGGAATATCTGAAGGAAAACTGAGCTCGGAATTGGGTTCGGCATCATTGAATCAGATAATTTGGCGGGTATCTCAGCAAGACGGACAGTTTTCATAACGGGATTTGAATTCGGATTACTCGGTAATGTCCTAGTGATACACATCCCTAGGGCTATCGCGCTTTGAGTGCAACACCAAAACAGATAGAAGCGACTGTAGATTATTGACTAGTGATAGCGGTCCTAAATTTTTGCGTTACACTCCTTTAAGGACAATCCGCTAGGTGCGACATCATTAAACGGGCCTAAAAATAAGCAGCTGTAATATAAACTGCAGATAATGATTAAAATACCCTCTATTTAAAAATACACCCACTAGTGTCTTGTTCGATTCAATTTTCCACTTACAGGCCTTATGTATAACAGGGAAGTCTGACTAAAAGAGGCTTGTCAAAATCGTCGTTGCCTAGTCAGTAAACAAAGCATGATTGATATGTTTAACACGTTTCTATAATTACTTTTGTATTGTTTGTTCATCTTCTGCACTTCGATAATCCTACTTTGAAATATAGGAGCAGCTTTGATTCAATCAAAGGGACACCAAATCGAACAGCTAACTTGATTTAGTGTCCATTTGACCGAATCACTTAGAAATACGTTATAAATTAGTGAACTTGAATCTCTTGATTATAAATTCGGCCCCAATGAAGGTAACACAATGTTCCCAATGGAAGCAATGTTCCCATTTTCAAAACTAAACATTGATTTCAGTTTGTTAAGCGTCTCGCTCACAGAAAACGTTAATGGCAAAAGTTGTGTCAGCTTCTATTCCCCATAAAGCCGCGTAGGTCCGACATAATGGGCAATTTTCGAAAATCTAACTGTTTTTAATGTAACAAGGGCAATTCGAATAGTATAGTGAATACGAGTGTTTCTGTCTAATGGTTATCATGTGTCGTAATCAGCTAACTCATCTTTGACCATCAGGTGTACCTCCATCAAAAAGTGTTAGCGGTGAAAAATTGAAGCAAATATTTTTTTTGTATTTAAAAAAAAAATATGCTATTTCAATCGATAACCGTCTGCCGTTTTTTTGGGAATGCTATAATTCCGTCACTGTGGGACTTTTATGCAAGAGGTTGTGTCGCCTTTGTGCGTTTTAGCGTTCTTCCATCGAAACTAGATTAAAGCTATTGAGGAAGTTCAGCAAAAACCGGAGGAACTAATAGTCTGATTGTGCAAAATTCGGTCTGTGCGGGGGAAACAATGGCTTACTATTGTCGTCTTGCTAGCTGTTGACAATAAAGGTTCGCGTCAATCGTTTGACCGGTCGGCAACGGCTCATCCTTCTACTCTCATCGAACACATAGCATGACCGCGTTTGGCGCCGGTCTGGGCATTGGGTCGACAGTTAGTGGGGCACGTTTTTTCTCATTTGCGTACGATTGTCGCATGTAATCAACTTTTTATATCTATGATCGAACGTTTTTGAAACATCATTCCATTTTTATGCGTAGCGAATTTCGCAGACGAAAATACGGCCGAGCAAATCATTTTGCGGGTGGCATGTAATAGTCGTGCCTCTACTGTAGCCAGTCTTTGTTAAATGGTTGAAAAGTGCCGCGGTGGTTTGCGTTTACTTCCTCAATAATATGATGGCTACTCATGCCCAGGTCCTGACCCACTTTGCCACTGATTTAATCTGCTTTTTCCATAATCGAGCACTACAACCAACGGTTTAAATTCTTTAAACGAAACTGACAGAACTATCTTTAAGTCATTTATTTCAACAACGCATCTTGATTACCAACAGCGCATAGTTACTATTTAACTATGAACCTTCATGCTTTCATCGCAAATAAGGCGAATTCTCGCAGAACTTTTATTGATTGTCGAGGCTATCTATCTGAAGTCTGAACGAAGGCATCATAGCACCTTTAGAACGTCTACTACTGTCAAATTAAAGCAACGCTGAAGCAGCTCATACTAGCTCAAATAGATGACTCTAAAATCACCTATTTAAAAAAAAAGAAAAGATGATTTATACATTGTCGATAAACCGATATATCAAAAAATCCCTGAGTGTATCGTATGCAGGAACCTTTTGGGTGTTCCGCTCTATTTCTAAGCACTTTTAGCGATTTAGCTGAGTAAAAAGCAATT